TATTTGCACTAACTTAAGTCTAGACTAAAAACAATAAATTTTAACTATTATTAAATGTAAATTAGTAATAAGTGAATAATTATGACTGCCCACAAAACAAAAATTTAAAGGTAATTTAACTACAATTAAATTCATTAAAATATTTTTGCTATTTGTGCTAAAATCGCTTTCTCACTTAATATCGTTTTGACCCATTGACAACACTTGTGTGATTAATTTTCTTAACTCACAACATAACATTTCACTACTGTGTATTATTTGCGTAAAGACACAATGAAGGAGAGCAAAAAAATAACAACAAAATATAAATTATTTAGTTCAGAATATAATGACAGACAGCAACTGTACATATACACATACACACACACACACTTTCACATTTAAGGTATGTGTGTACTCATTTATGTTATGCTGCCAACTATGCTTTTGGTTGGTGATGTATGCAAAATAAAATAAAAAAAAAAAATTTAATAAAATAAATACAAAAAAAAAGAAAAATTAAATCTAAAGAAGTACGAAATAATATAAAAACAAAACTAAAGCGATCGGCGATTACCGATCAACGCGATCTGTGCACACTCTAAAAATATATTCATTACCATAATACTTTGTATCGCTTAGATTGCCATTTAGCGAAAAATTTGTTTAGTGTTTTTGTTTGTATTTTTTGTTAATATATTAATTTTTTTTTTATTCTAGTTGAAGTAGAGACGCGCAATTATTGTTAGCGTGATACCTACTCTTGTTTATGTGTACTTTGTTATTACTTTTTTTTGAGAGTTATTATCACTTTTTTTGTAATTTTAATATAATTTAATTTAATTTAATTTAATTTTTTTTTTTAATTTTTTTTTGAGAATTAAATTTTTTCTTATATACATACTTACGTGACTAAATATTTTAAATGAGGGAATTTATATGTTTGTATAAATATAACGTACAAGTTGAAAAAAATGTTGATTTCTCTGGTTTTTATATGTTTACATATTTATATAATTATTTTTAACATTTGCTGTGTTTAATTATTTTTACCTTTTAATATTTTTAAAATATAAAATAAAGCAAAAAACAAATAAAAAGAAAGAAGAAAAATCTATGTGTAGACTTCGATCGCCGCCATTGAAAGCTACAGCATTTCGCGGTGTGTGCGACTACTTGTGCGACTTTTCGATATTTTAATAAATTTTTAATTTACATATATACGTAAATATATACAAATAATTATATATTTATATACATATATATGTCTATAATATATAGCGTGTACAGTTTTTTTTTTCTACAAATAAGGTTATATTTGTTATAAATACAATTTTAAATAAGCATACATACATACATCGATATACAAATAAATTAATCATTTGCGCTTAAAACGTAGGCTTTTACTTTATTTTTATACAATGAGTTTTTTTTTTGTTTTGTTTATTGAAACACAATTGAAATCAAACCTTTGCACTCAATTGTGCTTGTTTTTGTATTCAAATAAAAAAAAAAACACATTAAAAACGAAAGCAACATTTCAAAAGGACTTGTAAATGTCAACTTACTACAAAGTTAATGTATGCTCACATACATGCACACATGCACATATGAATACAACAGAATAAAAGAATGCGACATCAATAATATTAACTGTTACCTTTCTTCGTGCTGTATTTTAAACACACAAACTATATAAACACACAAACTATATAAACACACAAACATATATAAGCTCACATTCACGCACTACAGAGTTGCTTTTAATTAAAAAATATAAATGTTTGTTGGATTTTTTTCGACAGCGCACTAAATAGGCAAAAATTGTATAAAAATAAGTAAACAGAAATAAAATAAAAAGAAGAAAACTAAAAACAAAGTAACAACAACAATAATAATAAGAATTAATAAAATACAAAAAAAATACAAATTAAGAAAAAAAAACTTAAGCTACTGTGACATCAGCTCAACCTAATTATTGAAGCTTTTATTTTGCGAGCTCAGCTTTACTTTTAATATTTTTTATATTTATTAATCAAAAACATATAAGCATTTGTAGTTAGTTTAAGTAGTTATTATTAACTTAAACAAACGCATATGTAAAGGTTTAAAATCAAAAACAATTTATTTTTATATTTATTTCTCATATTTCGACACAACTACACACAAAATATTTGTGCACTCCATAATTACACACACATTTAATATTGTATTTGTACATTTATCCTTTCTTCTAGGTTACAATTTTTTGTTTTTGTGTTTTTGTTATGTTTTCTAATTCAATGTCCCACTATTACTTCGTCCCACTTTGTTGTCTGCTAATGAAAATGTAAAGTGCATTTCGTTTTTGCACGTCATCAGCAGCGCTTTAAATGTCACAGTACAAAGTAGAAAAGCAACAAAGTTGTTCTTTTTCTCTCCTTCGAGCTTACAATTTTCTTTTCTTTTTGCAAGTTTTTAACAAAAGTTGCTTTTCATTCATTTCTGCAAATTAGCGCTTTTTATCATTCCATTTAACTTTTCTTTGCTTTATGAATTACCGTTGATAAAAAAAAATATATATGTCAAGGAGAGCTTTGATATTACATACATACATTTCCTTTGATGTTATTGTCATAAAAGGATTGCTCGCTCCTTTAAGAAAATGATTTTACATATATTTTATTAGTTTTTTTTTGTTTTACAAATTTTACAAATTTAATGCAAAATGATAAAAGTATGTAAAGCGCCAAATTACAGTGGAAATTTTAATTTATACACACATAAATTTCTTTGAATATCTCTTAATATCAAAATATTAAAAATTTTTATTACAAAAATATTTCTTTTGCACAACCAATATTAAAAACGAATATAACCACATAGTACTTGAACCTTCAAATCTTCAACAACCTACCATGCTAAGAAGAATATAACTTACCATGTTGTATATTTTATTAACTTTCAAATAAAAGTTGTAATACTCGTAATATGAAAAATTTAAAACGTTGGAGAATTATACGGCAGTTCTAATTATTCTCATAGAATTCAAATATAAAAAATTTATTCGTGATAATAAATTAAATAGCAACTAAATTTTAAATCAGTTAAAAAAGATTATTTTCTAAAATTTTTGTTTTCAAAATCACAATAACAGAAAAAGTTTGGTTAGATTGTAGCGGCGGGCTTGCATACACTTGAGCTCAAGAAATAGTCCATTGTGATACCATAGATTAGCGTGGTTCATACACAGAATAAAGGTCAGCATATGAACTGCGTCAGAATGTACGATTCCCCCATTTAATTCAAAGTGAACAAACCTTAAAAGTCTAAAAACTCGTTGACAATTCTCTAATTTTGTAAATGATAGCTCTGTCAAGTCGGTAAGAAAAAGTGCTCAAAGATCTTAAATATTCAACTCATTACTGATGATATTATATCATATATAAACATATAATATAAAGTTTATATGTGTGTGTTTACACATAATATATAAAGTTTACCTTCCATAAACCTTCAATAGATATACATATAAAAAAATATATGACATGCATATATGTATATATCATACAATCATCATCATCATACAAATATTTCATATAATTTTTTCATATTTTTGACATTATTTTATCTGTTCAAAAACTATTTCAATTTATATATTTTTTTGTTTTCATTTTTCGTCCGCTTTGTGGCTTATATTTTGTAAATAATTAATTAAGAGCAGCTTGCATTAACGCTGTTATGCCTTAATGACAGCTGTTCACCTTCCTTTTTTCATGTGTAAGGTTTTCAATAATTTTTACCTTAAGTGTTCCCATTTTAACCTTTTTGGATAATAATTTGGCCGCATATACAATTTTGATTAAGGCAAAATATATTACCTTTTTCTTTTTCTTTTTTTGCTGTGGCGGCGGCTACTGCTGCAGCCTGAAGACTAAGTTTAAAGTGTACATATTGAGAATTACATTTATGTTCCGTTCCCATTGTTGTTGTCAACAGTCACACGCGCCACATTTACTTTTGTACTGTACACAAGCACTTATTTAGGACTTATCCTTGAATGAAAGCAAAAAATATATTTATTAAATTTATACGCAATGGACAGGTGGAAAAACATATGTGCCTATCTTTATATGCAAAGATACAATTTTTACATGAAAATATATATATAAGCAAATACATAAGATTGTGTTTGTCTTACTATTATATTTGCAAACAATGGTTTTTTTTTCGGTGGACGCTCCTAAATATCATCTTTTATGTACCTTTTATTTCTAGGAAATATTATTTAAAAAAATATATATTTATTACATATATACATATAGCTTATTTTGTGCTCTCTCTCTTGCAATTTATTACTGATATATTTTATAAGTTAGCTGCTTGCGTCCTTTTATTATTTTATTTAAATTTTTATATTTAAATTAAAATTTTATAGATTTTGTCTTAAATAAATTTTTTTTTACCTTTTAACTATATCCTAATAATGAATATTTCGATAATATATTTTTAAAAAAAATAATAAATAATAATTTTGTGATAAATAAGTTGTCTTAAAAAATATTATTTTATTTTTTAAAATTATTTTGAAAAATTTTACTAAAGATATGAATAAAAGTTTTTTAAAGTATAAAAAATAAATTATTTTATCTATGTAAAATATGAATGTTTTAACAATAATTTTTACTAAAAAATATTATTTCTTTTATTAAAAATTTTTATTTAAATTTTTAAATTAAATTTTAAATATTTAAATATTTATTTAGAAATAATTTATAATAAAAATTTATCATTATATCTTTATAATGAATGAAATATTCAACAAAATATTTTCAATAAAATAATTTTTTTTAACATATATTATTTTTTCCATAAAAAATTCCTACCAAAATCTTTTATTAAAAATTTTTACTAAAAGTTTTTATCACAAATTTCTAATAAAAATAATTATTAAAAATTTTAATTAAAAATACTAATAATATAGTTTCTTTTATTATAATTGACTTAAAATATTAAAAATTTTTCTATTTTGTTCTTTACAGAAAAAATGATGAAATGAACAGCCAAGCAGGCTCCTCAAGGGCTCCAGCCTTAGGGGGCCAAATTTCACCACCTGGCGGTTATAATACAGCATTAGAAGCACAACAGCAACAACAACAACAACAGCAACAACATCAATTTCATCAGCAGCAACAGCAACAACAACAGCAATTCCATCAACAACAAAATTTTCATCAACAACACGAACATTTTCTCGCATATTCCTCGCAACAACAGCATCCACATCAACAACATTCTCATCATCAACAACAACAGCAACAACAACAGCAGCAGCAGCAACAACAACAACAACAACAAGCACAAAATGTTGGTTATATGAATAATGGTTTAGGTGATTCCGATAGTTTACGCAGTTTAAGAAATACATTTGGTCCAAATTCCGAATTTACAGCTAGCGAACGTTTAGCCAGCGGCGGCGGTGGTGGTACTGGTGGACCAGCTGTTGCACAAACAGGTGCCGGCTGTTATAATAATATGGTAACAGCAACTGGTGCTCAACAAACGACTATGGATGCTATGAGTAGTTATAGTCAAGTAAGTGAAAAAGATAATCATTTTTTTTTATGTGTTATAAAAATCAATATTAAATTATATATAGCAGTATTATTAATATTAAAAAAGAGATATTGTTAAACCCATACTTTTAGGATCTATTTACTATTTCTTTAATTAAATTAAAAATTTAACAATTTATTCGATCCTAAACATTTCTTCATAAAAAATATCGTTATTATATCAAGACCTGTAAGTTCTAATTATTATTTCTTGAAGAATGCTACTTAACATATTTAACTAGAATTGTGTTTAAAACAATTGATTTTATAATGACCTCTCCCAGACTTCACTTGAGGCAATTATAATAATGACTTTATATTTAATTCTTAGATTGTCAAATTTTTTTTATAATACTCAATTTTGTTAAGTACTATACAATAAATTATGCAAAAGAAATGAAGATTCTTTTCATTTTAAGCATTTTTGGTGCTGTTAGCTATAAACTTAACTTTGCTTGTTTAATATATTTTTATATATAAACTAAGTTTGCTGTTGATTGCTTGTATAAATGAAATTAAGGGCTTTGTATAAAGTCAATTTAATAAAGCAATTCATTGCAGTATGACGTTTTTAATGATTTAATTTTACTTGTAGAAAATTGAAAGGTTTTCTATCTTTTTTAAAATTAAAATATTTATTTAATGTCCACAAGTCAGTGTATTTCTTATTTCATTAAATAAATCTTTTATTTTAAACTTAGAAAATAGTCTTTCATGTGTGAAAATCAAGTAAAATTTCTGAAATCATTTGTGGTAGGCTTTAAGGTTACGCCCGGCTAACCTTAAACCACAAATTACAAACACAAATATCCTTGCCACTGTTTTTCTAAAAATTTGTAACAAAAGTTACACCTACACCCGTTTTTATATGCAACACTTTTACTTTTTGAAGTGCAGTGGGGTACGCTGGTTTCGCATGCGAACAAAAACCACAAAACCGCAAGTCTAGTAAACTGAAGAAGAAAATATTTAACAAACCAAAAACAAGAACAAAAAAAAGTTAAAAATAAAAATAAAACTAAATAAGCAGCTAATGAAAATATATAAGAATTTTCTTTTATAATAATTTTTTTTATTATTTATAAAAAATTTTACACTCTCACCCCCTTTCTGTTACTCTTGATAACAAACATATGCCTGTCTCATGCATTTCTGTTCTTTTAGCTGTGATCCTTTAACATTTATCTAAACAATATTATTTTTTATGATTTTAATTTATTTTGTTCCTTTTTGTAGATGGGTGGTATGCACCCGGGCGCTAATAATGGTATGGTTGGTGGTACACAAGCGCAACATCCTCATCAGTATATGAATGGCAATGTTGGCCCTGGTGGTATGAATCCAACGGCAGCGTCTGGCGGTAATTGTGGCCCAGGCGTTGGTGTTGGCGGTGCTGGTGGTAATGCTATGCAAATGAGTCAAATGGGTCATATGAATGGCGGCAATGTGCATGGCATGGCAGCGTATAATGGTGGTGGCAGCGGTGGTGCTGGAGCAGCAAATGCAATGGCAAGGCATCATCAAGTGAGTATCAATCCAAATTTTTTCTTTATTTTTCATTTTTTACCTTTCTCTTTATGACTTTTCTGTGCTTACACAATGTCAACAATAGAGCAAGGACATACATATATACATAGGATATACTATGTAGTATATAGTATACCATAGTTTTTAAATTTAATATGAACTATAGGTATTGTACCTCAGGGACAAATATTGTACAAGTAGTTAGTTACATATAACCTTGTGCGCTACAATTTTATTCATACTCATGTGTAGCTTGACTTTTCAGTTTATTTTTCTATATTTTTTTTTAAACTTGATATGCTTTTCTATTACTATTGTCCCTGAAATTGATTGAAGGTGCGAGTATCTAATAAAAATATGCATATTTTTTTTTACAACTTCGTGTACAAAATTTTATTCTAAGTATTCTCATTCTGTGACAATTGTCAATCAATTTGTCAACAATTTAATAATGCATTTTCTTTGTTGTTCCAACACAACATTTTTCTTCATTAATTTGTTTTTTACTTTTTTAATTTGAATTAATAGACTTCATTAAAAAATTAATTAAACGCGTGCGATTTGAGTTACTAATACTAATAAATTAACAATTTATTCATCCATTTATATACATAGTTTTTGTTGTGAATATTACTGAGATGATTTCATTCTTCTGTTACTTTATTGGTGCAGACCCGTGTACCTAATGGCGTACGGATTTCAAATTTAAAAATGCAAATTGCAGGTGTGAACAATGCAATTCATTCAATGATTAATACAATTAAATAGTCTGAAACTGAAATGTGTCAACAAATGAAATCACAAATCCTCGATGCTCTATAAATTAATCATTTAATCATTTCCATTAGAAATTTGGTTATGTTTATTTTTATGATATTATATATAGCGATATACAGCAATATTCTGGCAACAGTCACTGACTTCATCTGAAACATTAGTAAGACATTTTGTTGAGTTATAATATTTTGGTATTCTTGTAATATTTGTAAAGACTTTTTTAAACTTAATTAACGCAATATTAACTAATAATAATATTATATATATATATATATATTTAGATATATGTATATATAAAGGTAAATAAATATAACGTTATTTATCATAACAATATTGTATAGCAGACCATAAAAGCTTTATATAAATAGCAAATCACTACTACTACTATTATCCACTTCCACCAGTGGAGCATAGGGCCTCAATAATTCTTCTAAATCTAACTCTATTTAGCGCTATAGATATCATTCTATGTATCTCATTCTTCAGTTAGCTTACTTTCGAATATTCTTCTCCACGTTTTCGCAAGCACACCAGGTTTTCTGCTCCCTCGTGGTTTCAATGCCAAAGCTTGCCTCCATATGTATGTTAACTTCTCCGTTGTCTAAATGTGGGGCCTATTGACTTCCATCTACTCATTTTTGTCTCAGTTTGTGCTGCTTTTTTGATTCGTTTAGTTTAGCAGGCGCTCATTTGATATTCGATTTGGACACTTAGACATGGAAAATTATATGCAATTAATTATATAGTCGTCCTGATATGGCAGCACTGTTATTCAGTAACATATTGGGTAATACTTTTTATATCATCCCTTATTTCAAGCAAAACTTTTATTCAAAACTAAACGTGATTTATTTAAGGTTTGTCATTACACAATACGAATCGTTTAACAACCGCTGAGCATGATATTTTTTTAATTCGTTAATGATTTAATTAATAATCTATACATTGTTTTTTAAAAAATTGCCTAAAGATATGTAATAAACTTGACTGATTTTAAACAACAGATTATGAAAATACTTTTCACTTATAATTTTACAATCAATTAAAATCAAATTGATTTTTAACGTCTATTTTAACGAAAGAAAAGTAAATTTTTAATATAAACTGTTATGAAGATATTATCAATTTAAATAGTATTTTTTTATTCAGAACTATTTTCAAAGCAGACTTTTGTACTCTGTAATGAACCCATTTATTACTTAAATCATAAAAAAAAATAAATAATTTCACTTACCTTAAGTACCTTATATTACAAATAATCAATTAAAGTACATAAGTGACAATTATTGAAATTCTAAAAGAAAAAAGAAATCTGTTTTACAGTACTTCTAAGAATTAATTAACTATTGATTTGTATATTTATCGACTTTAACCAACAGACTTTGAATTTATAAAAACTAACTTTTTGTGCTTAAGTCATCCTTAAGTATGGTTTATAAAAAATTATTTATATGGTTTATAAGAAATTTAGAAGTTACTATCAAGATTTATAATTATAAATAAATAAATACAATTAATAAAAAAAATTATCGTCAAACCTTTAATACAACACTTTAGTTACAAAGTTATTACCTTTGAAAGCATCAATTTTATTAATACTATTTAATATATAATTATATATTAATTGCTATATATATATGCATTACCTTTTTAATGCACAATATTATATAATTCAGAATTATTTGAATAAATTATGAAATTATTCGTTGAAAAAAAGAAAAAATAAATCGCAACAATTGTGAAAGAAATAGTTAATTTAAAACAATAATATTATACAATGCACTTATTTAACTTAAATAACAATAACAACAAAAAACAATAACAATTATAATAGAATGTGATTATTTCATATAAATTACATGGTTAGACATATGCGTATATAATAATTTGCTATACCCTATAACCAGCATACATTAACATTAATAATAGGTGTATGTAAATTTTCTTTATTCATTCCTAGAAACTTAATTTTTCTTTGCATATATTGTAATTGCATTTTTTTATATAGTATATAATATACGTATAGAAATAAACACAAATTTTTAAATTAATAAATTCAATACTAAAGTCTGTTTATCTGCGCATTGATTTCTTTCATGATTTTCCATTCATTCTAGTTTATTATTTTAAGGACCTTTTCTTTTAAGAATTGTTTTTCTCATTCTTGCTTTAGATACCATATCCACTTCCAACGTTGGTAGACATGTTCAATACTTCTGTTTTGTCTAAAGATTCGCTAAAGGCAACTTTGTACTTTTATTAAACCATTATCATAGACTTTAAAGCCACAACATCCTTTGTCTACCCAGTAGGGTGTTTCTTTAATTCTGCTTTCTCTGTCATAGATTCTTAAGCGATTATAGCATTCGCCCACCTTGGCCGCATGTCACTTTAATTCTGCCTTCCATTGTCGGAGATTTTTATGTTATTGTCTACAAGAGCACAACGTCTTTCAATTATGCTTTCCAATGGTAAACGTTTTGAAGCCACAATATTCCTTATATTCTACCAAGTCTTTCTTCAATTCTATCTTCTAATTTTCTGGATTTTTTAGCCTCGATAGTCTTTGTTCACCAGGGCCATGTTTTCCTCCAATTTAAGCAGGCTGTATTTTTTCGGCTGCTGTAAGATATGACCGATGAATTCCAGTTTTAGTGGTTTCAATGTTTCCTATATTTCTGTTTCATTTTTTTTCTTTGTCAAATTTGTGACATGCTCCGACCAACTATAAGTTTATCGATCGACATAGTAGTAAATGTCTATAAGTTCATTTTATTATATAAGTTAGATTATATATAGTATGTCTATATATATACTACATAATATATATAGTATGTCTATATATATACTATATATTATATATAGTATGTCTATATATATACTATAGAATATGTATAGTATGTCTATATATGTACTGTATATTATATATAGTATGTCTATATATACTATATAATATATATAGTATCATCAATACTACAATAATTCACGGTTTTAATATTCTACGGGTATAAATATTATTTGTTGTTGGAATGTTTAACTAGGTATAAGGAAACTGTTATTCTATATTCCTATACGTAGAAAATAAAGAGATTTTGTTATACTATTTGCATAAACTATACATAACTATCTATAGCAACCACTAAATAGAATCATTTTTATCACAACCTTTAAAGCTAAATAAAGCAGTTAGGATCCCCCGTTAAACAGTAATAATTCACGGTTTTAATATTCTATGGGGTTTAATAGTTATTTATTATTGGAGTGTGTGACTATGAAAATAGGGAAACTATTATTCTATATTTCTATATTGCTATGGACATAAACTATGCCTAACTATCTATAGTAACCACTAAATAGAATCATTTTTATAATAACCATTAGAGCTTAAGTAAAGGAACCCGAGGTGACATTATAATGGATTTGTCGGATCTAAGTGAGTTGATCAAATAAGTCGAAACTAGAAAATTAATCAATCCTAATCTGATCTAACTATTAATTCTAAACAAAAGAGAAGTTTCCTTCAATGTCGCTAGATCTTAAGTAACTATGAAGGAACCGTAGAGTGTTAAATAATTTTTTAAACTTGTGTGTTTTTCCCCTCGATTTCGTTTTTCTACTATAAGTGCTGGCAGTTAGCAATCTTTCATTGAAATATTTTAATTGTATATTGAAACCTTTTACTTACTATTATTAATTATTTGTAGTAAACATTTTTTTCATGTACTTTCTATTGTTGTTATTCAATAATTTGTGCCATTGTGCAAAGTGCAACTTGCGATATTCAAACTGAATTCAATTGAGTGAGCAGCCGCTGATCTTTCGCAACGTCGGCTTAGGTTATATATGCAAATTGTTATTGTTGTTGTTTTAGTTATAATTTGCAATAATATTGTTGTTGCTTCTGTTGTTGCTGTTGTTGTTATATTACCTTACTTGACGTAACTCGCGTGTCGTTGTCGTCGAGTCGAAAAATTTTCAATAACATTTTTAATTATTTGCACATGCCAAGTGCAAGACCAGCAACGAAGCAACGAATGCAATCATTTTGTAGTGACAGATGGATGGATGGACAGACGAATGATCGCACCGACAGATTGTATAAAGTAGTTAATAAATTAAACAAAAGCAAATAAAACTGCATGCGACTAAAAATGCATTAAATAATTGCGAATGCGAATGCGAACGCGACCGCTTAAATTATTATAAAATCGGTTGCACATGCGCATTTAAATTGGCGAAGGTGGCGACGGTGCGACAAAAAGTCGCTTCGCAATGCGATTTTTATACTAATGAAGGTTAGATGATTGAAAACTTTACTCACTTTTTAGATGAATTTCAAATTCAAATTGAAATTAAAAGAATTTCATGCAAAGTTTGTGTTTATATAAATGAACGCTAATATTTGTCTTTCTGCTGCAACGGTAAAGAGGCGATCTTGCATCAGCACCTCGCTGGCTTTATGTCGCAGCAACATTACTCGGCTGGCTGTTATTACCATAATTATTATTGAAATGAGCATTAAATTATGGCATAAGCTTTATTATTAGACAAATAATCATACTTTAGAGCTGGAATGTCATTCCACACGAGTCAAACTTAACTGCAGGGCTAGAAATTCTTGCGGTTGTGCGCAATACATAAGTAGCCACAGTGGTAAATTTTATTAAATCATCATTCAAATACTCATATAATTATTAAAACATATTGTTAACCCTTTTCTTCTTCTAATTCCAGATGAGTCCAATGAATCAAATGCAAAATATGACAATGGGCGGTGCTGGTGGCATGCAGCCTGGCATGGGTGGTATGAGCGGTATGAGTGGCATGAGTGGGCTGTCGCATCAGCAGCAACAGCAACAGCAAATGAATGCCATGAATCCAATGGCGAAAATGCAGGGGATGGCCAATGGTGGTTATCCACAAAGACGCATGGCACCGTATCCAAATCCACAAATGCATGCAGCACAAAAGCGTGCCAATATGTATCCTATGAATGCGAATCCTCAAAATGTTCCTCAACAACAGGGCATGCCATATGGCCAGCAAATGCATCCACAGGCCGGTAGTGGCGTACCTGTACCTATGCAAGCTGGCGCAGGCAGTTATGGACGTGGTCCTATGAGCGGTTATGGCCGTGGTGGTCCAGGTGGTATGTGTCCTACTAGCATGGGACCTGGTGGCATGGGACCTGGTGGTATGGTTCCTGGTAGCATGGGTCCCGGTGGTATGGGTCCGGGCAGTATGACACCTGGCAGCATGGGTCATAGTGGTATGGGACCTGGTGGCATGGGTCCTGGTGGTATGGGACCTGGTGGTATGGGTCCTAGTGGTATGGGTCCTGGTGGCATGAGCAGCATGCAACGTTGTATGCCACAAAGTGGTCCTGGTGGTTATGGCAGTAGTGCTGGTATGAGTTCACATCATTCACAACAAGCGCAATTCTATCCAGGTTCTGGTGCTGGCATGGGAATGGGTGGCAATAGTAATAGCGGTATGTGTCCGGCTGGCCCGGGCTCTTCCTCTAGCACTGGCAATCCATACCAGAATCAAGGGTAGGTAATATCTCTTTGAGAGTGACGTGCATATTTTACTCATATATATTTATATTTTATCATTCAGATTTCAACAAAACTATCAGCACAGTCCAGTTCCTGGTAATCCAACTCCTCCTTTAACCCCCGCCTGCAGTGTACCGTATGTCAGTCCAAATCCAGATATCAAACCACAGTTAGACAACAGTAAGTAAGCGCAAGATTCTTTTAAGTTTTTAAATATAACTAATTGTGTATATTTTTATTTATTTTACAAATTATTCTTTAGGCGAAGAAATGAGACTGACATTCCCCGTTCGTGATGGCATCATACTTCCACCGTTCCGTTTGTTGCATAATCTTTCCGTCAGTAATCATGTATTTCATCTAAAACAAAATGTCTACAATACGCTCATGTGTCGGTAAGTTTAAAAAAATATAAAAATTTTTAATCAAATTTTTAATTAGATTATAGATTATTTCATACCATATATACTACATAGATTCATAAATATATTTGTTACTTATTTGCCTGTATAAAAATATCTATATTTATTTATAGATATATATAGTAATTGAATACAAACTATAGATTACTACTATATAATATACTATATACCATATATATGCTTCGAATTACTTACTATCTTGATTAAGTGAATTTTAATTTCGGTTCCGCGAACTACTTAACATAAGCAAGAGACTACAATTAAACCACCTTGGCTTATTGTTAAAACTCGCGGTTCCGTCTTACCTTGAACTGGCGTTCTTTTTTGATAATCTTGATCAACTGTAAGATCTCCCATTAAATTGCATTTTAAGATTTACAAAAGGTTCAGAGTTGTTTTAAGACTCTGAGTTTGTCTGAGTATACAGTCACATAATGGGCCAATAGGCCTAAGTGGATTCCTTTGAAACGCCGGTATAACTTAACCCATAGCTTTCAACTATTATCGAAGTTAACTTTGGAATGTATCCATACTTAGTATAGTTATGAAAACATATTTAAAGTTAGTTCTAAAAAAATTCTATTAAAAATTTTAATTTTGGAATATATCCTTACTTAGCAATGTATTTCGACCTTATACGATTAATAATAAATATACAAATAAACCACTATAAAACTATTCCCAAAAACTAATTTTTATTTCTTATTTTCGTTACAGTTCCGATCTCGAGCTGCAGTTAAAATGCTTCCATCAAGACGACAGACAAATGAACACCAATTGGCCACATACAGTTACTGTCTCTGCTAACGCTACACCACTGAATATTGAACGATCCGAAAAAACCGGACAGGCGTTACGGCCGCTCTATTTAAAATCGGTGTGTCAACCTGGACGTAATACGCTCCAATTGACTGCAAGTTCCTGTTGCTGTGTAAGTATTACTAAAAATATAATTCAACATGCTTATGAATTACATTTAATATGTTATTATGGAAATAAATTATAATTTTATATTTCTCATTATAGTCTCACTTATTTGTGCTACAACTAGTCCATCGTCCTTCTGTGCGGCAGGTGCTACAAAGCCTACATAAACGTAATCTGCTACCACTCGATCATAGCGTTGCCAAAATTAAACGTAACTTTGCAATGGGCATTTGCGGCGGTAACAGTTCGAATCCTGTACCAACAACCGAAAACAACAGCAACGATCAAAATAAAATCGTCAAGATCTCAATGAAGTGTCCAATATTGAAGACTCGAATACGTCTACCGGCAAGAGGACTTGAGTGCAAGCACGTGCAGTGCTTTGATCTTGAAGGTTATTTGATGATGAATTGTGAACGCGGTGCTTGGCGTTGTCCAGAGTGCAAGTAAGTATAACTTTAAAATAAAAATTCTTTTCAAATGAATAATATTTATTAATAATTTTTTATTTTAATTAACAGTAAACCAGCTCTCACCGAAAGCTTGGAAATCGATCAATATATATGGGCCATATTAAATACATTAGCTAACACTGATGTTGAAGAAGTGATAATTGATTCATCAGCAAATTGGCGTGCAGTACAGGGCAATCAACAGGGTTGCCCCAATAATAACGGCCCAACAACATCTGGTACAAATGCACCTCCCACTGGCACAAATATACCTATCATCAAGCAGGAGATTTTATGTGATGATATTGCTAAAGTAATGTCACCAGGCTCCACTCAACTACCAACATGGGACAATTCGCAGGCGATGAGTCCATATATGAGTCATGATATGAATTCTATAGCGAATGGCAATATGATGGGTGGTAATGGTAACAATATGCCGGGTGCAACAGGCAATGCGCAGGGGTAAGTTTATTTGTTGAAAAAATATCCATGAATACAGATTATAATTGTAATTTTGTTATTATTTACAGTGTTGTTAATCGTAATGCTTTTGATAACTTTAACAATACACCAAATGACAGTCAAAATAGCAACAACAATGACTTGTTATGTGAACCTGTAAATTCACTCGATCAATTGAATGCAATGGAAAAGTCATTAAACGATCAGGTATGTGTGTTATTGATAATTGGCGTTAAATAAACTTTTTATTAATAATTGATTCTATTCCTATGTGTAATATAGATGCCTCATACCCCGCATACACCACACACGCCTGGCGGAGCTAGTCATCCAATGACACCTGGTGGTCCACCAAGTGTTAGCTCTGCACATAATGAACCTGTTTGTGGTACACCAAATGCAAATGGCAATACTACTGGTCCTGGTCATTGTTCACCACAGACGCCAGGAACACCGAATAACAATCGCTTGAACGTGCCCAATAGTGGCAATACTAATGGTAACGATAGTTCGCAGCAACAAAATCAACAACACCAGCAGCACTCACAACAATCCCAACAGGAGCACATCATTAATTCATTAATCAATTCACAGTCAAATGGTTTAATCAATTTGAATGATAGCGATTTGAATGCCGAATTGAATAGCTTTGAACCTACCATTGATAATTGCGATCCCGCAAACGACCTGAATGTAAGTAATTTATTTCGGCATATTTAATTAAATCATTTAATATACGTAATTAATTATATAGAAAAATAAGATATTCATATTAATTTCAAAAAAAAAACTAGATGATTTGAATTTCCCGGTTATGATTATTTGACAAGGAAACTTAATGAAGACCGCTTAATAGGTGGAAATATATTATTTATGCAAAAACGCAGACGACCAGGTAGACGCGACATATATTGTTGCTCGCTAGATGGCAACGAAAAGAATTACAACATACAAATACCTAGATTATGATATGGAATAGTTGGGGAGTAAATGAGAAGAGGGGGTGTAGTTTGGGATAAGGAATGGATAAGGACTGATTGGCATCTATTTAAAAATAGCATAGATTGAGATAGAGAATCGTTACCACTTCTATAGGTCTTACATTAATATGTGTGTTTATGTCTCAACTTCAATTAGAGTATGACAGTTCTTATTGGACTAGAAATGCATATTTATTCCTTGCTGATGTGGGATATCGAGCAATGGTCTGTTGAGAACTTCGTTGCACTGCAAACCAAAGACCAATAGTGCTTAAAGCTACTTAATTGATAGTAGAGCTGCAGTTGGGGCACATGTTGGGAATTGATGTTGTGGCACATGCTTTATGTTTGACAAGAAAATATTTCGCTCATGTCGATATCCCTACTTTAATTTGGCTAAGACACTTCTTATTGGATTAGAAAAGCATCGTACTTTCCTGAAGATATCAAGATATCAGGCTAATGTCCGTTGGGAACTTTTTTGCCAAGAAATTCTGGTCTCGAAAAAGAAACAGTATCTGTATTCGAATAGAGACTATACAAGATAGCATGTATAGTTTTTGTTAGTGTGATATATGTAAAAAGCTAACTTTAAGCCTAGATATATTGAGGAATAAGCTATATAAGGGCGTGACGGAAAAACTTGCACAGAATATTAAAATTTATAAAAATCATTTGTCAAATCTTCATGCCTGGGATATCAAAATCAAGACAAAATTAAATATTAAAATCAAACTATTAAGTTTTGAATTTATTTATCAACCTGTTTTTTTAGTAATGGTTTTTATATATTTTTTATCCGGCTACACACACAAGTCACTTTTGTTAAAATTAAAATTCAACGTTTGTTTAATATTTTTTAATATTATATATTTATTTATATTTCGACTCTCCCTGAGAGTCATCATCAGCATAAGGATCTATAAAAGCCATTAATGAAATTAACTAAATTGCATAAATAAATAAAAATATTATTGAAAAATGCTTAAATTTATAATTAAATTAATTTGTTTTTGTTATTTTCAGCTCTTATCAGATGTTGATCCAATGGAAATTTTATCATATTTAGATCCACAACCAGATTTAAATACACCTCCATCCAGTGGTTCAAGCAACAACAACAATAATGATGATTTACTAGCATCACTTTTTGATTAAAATGTATTTAACTGCTGCTCTACTAATTCTTAAATGGTCCTATAACTTTTTAATCAAATAAGAAAATTTGAAAGAGGAAGAAACTATATTTGACAAAAAAAAACAAAAAACAAAAACAAAAAATAAAAAATGCAACAAACATAAAAATACTTTTATCTTAAAGCTATAAACCAAACTTGAAGCATTCACTAGGAATTTTGGCTCAAAGGACCCACAACAATAAAATTTTAAATTAATGTAAATAGTATTTGATGGAATTTTAAATTCAAACCATAGAAGCATATGCAAATGATAAGATTATTACTCTATTTTAACTTAAGAGAACGACAGAAAATATTACAATTTTCCTTAAAAACTTTTGTATATAGTATTATTAACATTTAAACTCTATTATATTACCAAGCATAGAAATGGGCTTTCAACATATATATATATATGTGTATGTGTATATATATGTATATGTATATATATATGTGGGCCCCTACCGCATTAGTTTTAATATAGCTTTAAGCCGCACATACACATCCATTTACACAGAAGCGTTCATTAACATACGAGTAAACACAATAATTAAATTTTGAATAAAAATTAAATTAATTAAAATAAAATTGAGAGCAAATAAATTTAAAAAAAAATTATTATTAACAACACAACGCATATATACACAAAATAATAGTATGAGAAGAAGCAACAAATAAAATAAAATACTTTCAAGAGTTAAATGTTAAAAACATGGGAAAACGATTTGAAAACAATGAAATGTGATTTTAAAAATATAATTAATAATAATATTATACATTTATTAAAGGCAAATTTTAAGTAAATTTATGCAGAAAAATACAAAGAAATATTATTAAAAAAGTATAAAATAAAGAACATATTTTTAATTAAAAATTCTAAAATATTTTATTTTGCATTTTATGTGTTTTGTATTAAAAAAAAATAAAAGATTTTAATTTATATTTTTTTTTAATTGTTCTCAACAAAATTTTAAATAGAAAAAAAAAAATAGTAACAAGCACAATTTAATATATTTTATAACAATATAGAGTATTTTTGTTTTTACATATATACATACATATTTATACAGAGTTTTGTGTATTTAAAAATAATGTTTTTTTATTTTATTAATTGTTTTTTTTTTTTATAATAAAAGTTTAAATATTAAGTTGCAAAATAAGAACATTATTTTTGATGTTTTTATTTGTTTATTATTGTACAAAGTATTAAAAACAATTAAAATTAATTAATATATGTTAAAATTGTAAGCAAGTAAAACAACAATTTTATTACATTTATATAAAAAATAAAATTTAATTGTTGCATATTTTTAATTATTTTATAATTTTCAAATATATACATTTATATATATATTATATATAAAACAGAAAAAAATATATAAACAAATTATACATATATATTCATATACATAAAATAAAATTAATATAAATATATATATAAACATAAATATATATATAAATATATATATATATTTAAATATATTTAAATTTTAAGCTTAAACTAAAATTAAATTATAATATTTAATTTAAATTAAAAATTATAAATTTGAATATAAAAAAATTTAATTATTTAAGATATTAAATTAATTATAAAAGAATATTAATATAAAACTTAATTAAAATATTGTAAATAAATTAATAGCATTAAAAAAATAAAATAAATATATATATATAATACACAAAATATTGAAAAAATTAAATAAAATGAAAAATTTATTTTAAAAACAACAAAACAAATTCTTATTTTTTATTTCAACATAATTTAGTTTTAATATATTTTATTTTTAAACAATTTAACACCGATTATTAAAAAATTATTTCACCAAAAATGTATTTCTGAATTTTATTAACATTTATTTATTTATTTTTTAGTTTAAAACTCATATATTTTTTCTTTATATATTAAAAGAAAATACAGTATTAATAATAATTGCTTTTTATTTTGGATATCTAAAGCAATGTTTTAGTAAAAACTAATATTAATTTACAACACTTTTTCATTGAAAGCTTTAATCATTTTTCGAAAATTTCTATCAAACTTTATGAGAATTATATTTTCTTTAATGCGTTAAGCAATTCAAAACAAAGTTCATTTATAACTATGAAATAGATTTTATTTCATTTTTTACTTTCAATTTAAACTCTAGGGGAAAAAAATTAAACGATATACAAAGTCAAAGAACAAAAAGTCGGCTTCTTCAATTCTGGTTTATTACTAATAAGTTTTAGTTAGAGAAATAGTCCTCTTTGAATGGCCCAGATAGATAACATGATAATGATAGATATCAATGATAAACAACTTCGTTGAGTTATACAAACCTCCGCTAGGTTTTACAGAATATTAAAAATTAATATTTTATGAACTCCTATATAAAAGTTCCGAGTATGTAAAATATATAAACTTTAGTCATTCTTCAAGCTTAAAAAATGGACTTCAAAAATTTTGTTTTCATCCCGAATTAATAACTGTTAAGGTTTGTCATGATTCCTATTGATGTCTATTAGGAATGTTCAAATTATTTATTCATTGTGCTTTAATAAAAAAAAATTTAAATGATTTTCTTCAAAATATTCCTTAGAAATGTATTTATAATATTAAATTAAAGATCAATTTTATGAAATAAAATTTCTTATCCCATCACTTGTCCCAATCCTATTTCTTTAGAGTCGTAGGAGAAAATTAAATTCAGAAAAAAATTTAATAACATTTTTTGCTTATATTTATGTATATTCTTTAATAAAATTTTTCTCATAAAGTATATATATTTTTTACATTAATTTATTATTTATTTTATAAAAACGAATATTCACAGATTACTGATTATTTTTATTATTATTACATTACTTGAGCTGTAGATATATATAAGATCAAAAAATAAATTGTTTAAAAAAACATATAAATTTAAAATGTTTATTAATTTTATATTGTTTTTTTAATAAATAATTTAAAAGATTATCAACATTATTACCTTTTTTGACAAAACAGGTCCTGATGAACTTAACTTATCGCACGATAGTCTCTTCTTGGGGAGTTGTTGCAATTTTCATATAAACTTTATATATCTAATAGTATTATTCATTTTACGTCATAAATTTTAAGTTTAATAAATTTTTAAAATAATTGATAATTTATTACTTATTATTAATAAATTTATTATTTATCACCTTTAATAATTTTAAATAACTGCTATATATAAAGTAAACTAAACAAAAAAGCATAAATAGATGTTCTTATTTCTTATTTTAAATTAAATATGGTTTAATGTATTTATGGTATTTATTTATGATAATAAAATAATATAATTTAATAATACTAATTTAATACGATTATTTTGAACTATAATTTATATATTATTTTATACTTATAACCTAATATTAACTTATGGTAATTTAATAATTTAATTAAACTTATTAATTGAAGTATTATCGAGTTTTTTATATTTTTTGTTTTCCAAAAATTAATTCATTATTCAGTATTTAATTATTGTTTGAAATAATTTTTTATTTAATTACTTTAATAATTTTTCAACTAATATTATTCATTTAAGGTTATTGGACCAATTTTATATCAAACTTCATTCTAATAATTGTTATTTAATTTTTTTTTTCGTTTTTGTATAAATAAATTTAAAAATTAATACATCAAAATAAAATAGAAATTATTTAAAAACAAAAAGTAGTAAAATTGACTAAAATAGAATATGCAAAATATGTTATATGCTTTTAGATGAAATAAAACCAAAATATATAAATATATATAAGCATATATATGAAATCCAATTAATTGATTAAAATTTAAATTAGTGAGATTTAAGAACAAAAATTTATAAAATTTTTAGAAAGCAATTTGCAATAAAAACTTTCATCAAAATATATTATATAAAAATTTTACAACCCGTAATTAAAAAACAAAATTGCTTAAGAGCAAAATTTAAAAAAAAATTAAATTTTAAAAAAAAATTATTGATGAAGATGATATAAGTAGGTAAATGAATCTCAATCTTTTTTATTCCATTAAATTATATGTGTTAAATATAATTAGTAGTGGTTTCATTGTAAAGCGTATATTACCAACAAAAACAAAAAAAACAGCAACTCAATTTTTATTTTCTTGCTTGCATAACAAAAAAAATTAATAATAATTATAATAATTTAATATATTATAACATAAAAAAATTATATTATAAGCATTGCGCAAAAAGTGATTTTATTCAAAATAAAATTCACATATTTGGAGCAAATTTACAAAAATATAATTAAATATTAATAATATTAAAAAAAAATTAAAAAAAAATTATAGTAAAAAAAAGTCAAAATTTTTTGTGTAAATAATAAGCAAATATTTAAATAAAATTTTAAAATAAGTTAAATTTCAATAATATAAAAACCGACAAACAAAAATCTAAATAAATTAATGAAAATTTAAAAAAGCAATTTATTTATTTCAAAAATCATAATTGTTTTATTTTATAATAATATTAGGAGACTCTATATATTATATATATAAATAATATACATATTAATATTATAAAAAAATTCCTTAAATGTCAACAAAAAGTCTACTCAAAATGGAATAACTTCTATGCAGCTTCCTTACTGAAACAAAGAATTCTGTCCACTATTAATATTATATATATTAATATTATATACATAATTATTATATATATTAATATTATAATATTAATAGTTGTATTGATAGTTATGTATTAATCATTCTCTCGAGGAAGCACTATTGTACCTTACAGCAGTTTTTCCAAATAAGGTTTACGCAAATAGTAACGCAAAGATGGGGGCAGGAAATGCTTTAGCTCCTCAATTTACTCAAAATAAAATACCAGGTTAAGATCTTGAATTGGAAATCCAAGTCTCTGTGAATGTCTGGTAATGACCAATCTAGATGGGTTTAGTCTTGGTACAAGTAAATCTTATTTTTGATATTTTGTAGAAATAAGAGTTTATCATAGATTAGCAGGTATTCATTTGTATATAAGTACTTAGAGAATAACTGAAATAGTTTATGTTGTGCAGTTGCGTGAATACTATGTCCTAATATTCAGTTGACCGAAACCTTATTTCGTCTGCTAATCTCATTTAGGCTCTCGACACAGGATACGAAGATATATAGGTATATCCCGAGGGTAAGACTTTTGTAGGTGCTTGGCTATTACCAAAGAATATAATATGATTTTCTGGTACACATCTTTTCAGCAATATATCATCAGTCATCCTTTGTGCCCACTTCACTGATTGAAATACACTCATATAATCTGGTATGCTATGTTATACCTAATGTCTGCTCCTTATTGAACTTCAAATCCAACATTATTATTTGGAACCATTTGTGTAAATGTTATATTTACCATAAACGCTAGAAGACTTATTTGTGATAATCATCTCGTTTACGTATAGTGTTCAAATAGTCCTATCAGATGACTCATGTAATAGTCGATCTATTGTAGAATATTCTAAATTTTCTTAAGAATTTTTCCGTATCCTAAGTTTAGCTTACATTTTTCGCAACTGAAAAAATAATTTTATCTATTTATTCTGAAGTATCGGTCGTACCCAAAGATCTGTGGGTTTAAACGACGTTGAGTTTATACAATTAATATATACGATCGAAATGAAAGAGATTTCACTTCATATTCCGAATTATATTAACTTTAGTAAGCGTGAGGCTACCTTCACAAATCTATTGAATTTTTTTTTGCAATTTTTAAATTGTAGGGTAAGAGTTCATCCCTTGGTATTTGTAGTCTCACATATTATTTACGAATAATTAAATACAAGAAATAATTCCAAGACCACTGATGATGGGTATTTGACAATATTCAAATAGGCTGTATGGTCAGCCAAATATTCAATTAATTAAAATAATATAAAAAGAATTTTTGTTGTTGTTGGTTCACTACTTTTCAAAATCTCTCTACCAAATACCATATTTAATTTAATTTAAATAATTTTAATTTTTTACACAACATCAGATTATATTATATTTAATTCGTATGTAATACCAACCCGGCAGATTAAGAAAGCTTTAAGGAAAATATTTTTTAGCAAGTCAAGTCTACAAAATTATCTCTATGTACTAGATTAGATGAACCATTACTCAACAAGTTCAGATAAGAAAAAAGGAGTTGCCTATTTTCTTGTCTCATATACATTTTATGAAGTTAAATTCAAAAGTTGTGCGCGAGATGTTCAAAGTACGCTTGTTCGAAAATTACCTCATAGACGGATAGTTTATCCACCAGGAGATTATCATCGAATAAGAGATCTCTGGATCTCCAGATATATCTTAGGTATATTGCCTAATTTAATGATTAAAAATTATAAGAGATTAATATTTAAAATAAAAAGTGTTAAACAATTTCATGAATAAGAGTAAAAATGTCATGTAAACTCCAATGAGATGAAGTTTCTATAACTTCAAATAAGTGGACTATTTTTTATAAAAAGCTAAAATAAAAAAAGCTTATAGATTAGTTTTGTTTTTCTTTTTATTATTATATAGTAGTCTGTATGATTATCGCTGACGTTTCGAAGTTTGTTTGATTTCTCCTGAGGGCGTAGTATTATTACAAGAGTTGTACTAATACTCCGCCCTGAGGAGGAAGAATGGAAGGTTATACATTATTAATTAAATTTTCTTATTCTTCCTCATGATTTGCAGTGCTAATATACTTTTAATATTAAAAATGTTTTTTTAAGAGTTTTTCTATACAAAATATTTTTTATAACACAATTTTTTTTTCAGTTCATAATTTTTTTTTATTTTGCTTAATTAATTTTCATTCATTTTTTTCTGTCTTAGACTGCGGATACGTTTTTTATAATTATTTTAAATTCAGTTCAGCATTGATTAAAGATATGGCTTATAAATTCAACACATTGCATTTTAAATTTCTGAGCTACATAAGCTATATAAAAAAGTTTGAATTTAATGTAATTATAATATGTAGCAGGCCAGTTACAAAGTAAATATCTTACACTATTTCTTGCAAGTCGCTGATGGTATTAGAACCAAAATATTTTTAGAAAATAACCACAGATAAGTTCTAACTCGTCTGTGGTACAATAGTACTTAATTTTCTTCAATAAAAAAGTTTTATTTTATTTTCAAGTTTTCTCGAGTTAATATCTCACATTTATTCATCAATCTCGATTCATGTTACCAGTTAAGGACGTTAAAAACAATAATATTGTTAATATATATGTAATAAAAATTTTGTCCACTAATAGCACATAGTTTATATTTGGAAAAATGTTTAAATCATCATTAAATGTCAAAACCATGCATACAAATAATTTAAAAAAATGTCAGTTCATATTCCATGCCTAATTCCAACGGCTTTTTTTCGCTCTAGATCGGCTGGAGTCATTATTGTTGCTACTACCGCCAACTGTGCTTGATGATGAAGTTGGTTTTCCTCCTCCTGGCGGAGGTGGCGGTGGTGCTGGTGCAGCAAAAACTCCACTTTCAGGAACTGTTTGTTCCCAAGTTCTATCACTCGAAGCACGAAATTGCGACATGTACTGAGCACGAAAAGCTTCACGCATAGCAGCATAACGATTCGTAGCAGGTCCAGCAGCGGAAATTGATTTGCTTGTTGATGTATAAGAACTGGTGCTTTCAGATGAATATGCTGGGGGTTTGGTATTGGAATTTCCGCCACGTTCTCGATAACCTAACCCAGTTCCTCCAACGGTAAGTTTCTTTCCTTTACCATGTTTAAATCGTGAACTACGAAACCATGAGCTTTTCATAGCTAACTGCATTAAATCTTCTGGTACTTCCTGATCTGCACCTTCTAAGTTTCGCACTAAATGTCCAGCAAACTCTTTATCTTTTTCAGTAACTAATGTGTAAGCTGTACCTTTCTCTCCAGCACGGCCAGTTCTTCCAATTCGATGTGTATGTGTGTCTATATCTCGTGCAATGTCATAATTGACTACATTACGAATGTGTGGTATATCTAGACCACGAGCAGCAACATCAGTTGCTACCAGTATGTCACATTCTTTTTTCTTAAATTGTGTTATTACTTTATTACGATCAGCTTGATCCATGTCACCATGCAATAATAAACAATTTTGCTCTTTGACCAACAAATTATTAGCTACTGTTTCAGCATCAGCTTTTTTAGTGACAAATATCAATATACTGCCTTCGGACAAAAACTTCACTAAATGACAAAGCAGCCAATTCCATTTCTGTAATGGATTGGGAAACACAAAAACATATTGTGTTATGTCCTGATTGGCTTCATTTAAATCCCCCTGCACAATACGTATTGGATCCATAAGAACATCACGTGCCAAACGTTCTATACGCTTTTTAAATGTCGCCGAAAAGAGCAAGGTTTGGCGATCCGGACGTACATGGTTACAAATTGATCGTACCTGAAAATAATCAAATATTAGCATTTATAAAATATTCTATATGGAAAACTTACTTGTGGTTCAAAGCCCATATGAAACATACGATCCGCTTCATCGAGTACCAAAAATGTTACCCTACGTAAGTTTGTCGCCTTAATTTTGACCATATCAATCATGCGACCTGGCGTAGCAACAACAATTTCCGCACCCTGTTCAAGTGCTTTACTTTGTTCCCACTTTGAACCACCACCATAACAACAGACCACATTAATGTTGTAGACCTTACCAAATTTCTTTGCTTCATTGTATATTTGCAAAGACAGTTCACGAGTAGGTGCCAAAATAAGTCCAATTGGCCCATCACCTTCACGTAACTCTCGTTGATCCATTATATGTACTAACATCGGCCAAATAAATGCGGCGGTTTTACCGGAGCCAGTCTTTGCTATGCCAATAATGTCACGTCCAGACAGCGCAGTTGGTACCGCTTGTGCTTGTATGGGCGTCGGTTGGGTATACTCAGCTTTTCGTACGGCTTTCATTAGACTTTCGTCGAAGCCGAAATGTGCAAATGACGTGACCGGTTTTGGTGGTTCAGCTCCAGTAACTTTGACTCCTAAAGTTTTACGCAAATCACGCACTTTTTCATCATTCAAATTTGCTATTTCTTCATGGGGGGTATAAAAATTTTTTTCAAACGATTCATATTCAATTTCAGAATGATAAATTACTGGCAATGGATCAATATCTTTTTTTCTAGGTGGTGGTATAGGATTACCATCTTCATCATATTCAATTTCGATATCTGAACCATCATCTCGCATACCAAGATTTGGATTCTCTTCAAGATAGCGATAGTAACTTTCTTCGTCATCCTCATCTTCGATATCACCACGTACACCTTTGACGTTTTTAATATCGGTGGAAGGAGCACTAGTATTAGAATTTGCTGAAACAGTATCCTTTCTTTTTTTCTCCTTTTCGACTTGTTGTTCAATGCCTGCCATAAACATATCAAGTGTATCATCTTCTGAATCGCTATCTTTATCTTTGTTTTGCGTTTTAGCACCCGGTGAGCCAGGAGCCGGTATGTATGCCATTTCGGGAACTTGCTCGTCATCATCATCAAAATACTCATCCTCGGTATGTGCTTTTCGCTTTCCTAATGCATTTTGTGAGCTTGTAAATTGGCTTATAGATTCTAATGTTGTGTAGCCATGTTTAGAAACACTAGGAGTAGGTGCCGAGCTATTACCGCTATTTGCACTGCTACTACCTTTTTGATAACCACGTCCGCTTAATGAAGACGGCGGCGGCACAGCATTCATCGAAGCACCACCAGTGCGATTTGGATTTGTTTTATATGGAAATCCGCCACCGCCGATACCACGATAGCCACTCATATTCAATTAAATTAAAATTTTATTTAAATTATTTTGGAAGTATATATTCATCAAGTATTAAAAATAGTTTGAACAAAATCAGGAATACTAACAAATCGATTGACAGCCAAATATTGCGGCACAGAGTTGCATTTATGAAAGATTTGCTCATGTAATTGTTATAATACATTCATACTGTCTCATGTAGGCACTTGTTCATGTATATTAATGAATGGAAGTTCTCATCACAATGAGCTCATTTATATGAAAGCTGTTTCTATAGTACATAAATCTAATTAGCGATTAATAAGATTTATTATTATATTATTAAACATAAATCTTATTAGCGACGTTAAAGAGCAAATTCACCTAAATAAGACAGTATGTACTAATCCTACCATAAAATTTTTTTTGTTAATAATGTATTATTTGAAATTATTATATTATTTAATTTAATTCTAAAGAAATAACTTACATGCCATACTCTGAGAATAGTAAACGTAACAAATGTCAAATTAAACTACCAAGGTAAAAATACTTATAAGTATAATTTTGTTTTCTTTTTGTGTACTTTAGTTTTTTTGTTGCAATATTGTACTACGTTCACACTGGCTCTAAATGTCGCACATGCAAAATACGACTCTTTGTATAACGTTTCTTTTGGTCATAGCCAAACGAAAAAATTGCAGTGATCATTCGTCATATAACAATCTGTATTATATAGCCGATGATAATACATAAAAAGTATGTACACTGAGCATTCATAAAAATCAGATATGTGGACCCAAAGTTTAACCGGATGGCAATTTCATACGATAATTATGTGAAATTCAATAATCTTAAGCAACTTTTTTTAGTACAATTTATCACGATGTAGATTATTTTGGAGTAATGGAGACTTAAATTGTGAGCCCTTTTTGTATTAATTACACTAACAAAAAAGCTATTCACACTATATTAATATACGCAATTTTTACATTGATTATGTATATGACATGCCTAATGCATTTGCTTGCTCTTGGCAGTTTATATAAAAAATTTGCTACATCTTAATACCGAATATCTAAAAATATAAGTTACGTTAATGTACAGCGTAGTGTTGTTTAGATTTACTAGATTACTGACTTTACTAAAATCTGTTTCAAGTAAAAAATATATTGATTATTTGCTTGAATATGTTTTTAACTTTTCTCCTTAATATGCTATATATTGCAATAAATGGCATAAATTGTTACTACTTTATAACACTTACCAGTTAATGTTTGATAAATAACTTGGGGCAACACTGTTACAGAATGTAAGCTTTGAAATCAGCTGTTTATTGTTTTCATTTCCAATAAATTGTTTAAAATTTCTTTTAATTTTATTGTGTATTTGTTACTAATTTTTTATCGTTAAAGCATATTAAAATGGTGGAAAGAGCTGCAGAGGATTATGCAAAAATAATACAAAGTGTGAATCCGGAACGAGAAGTAATTAAATAATTTAATAATCGTTATGAATATTAATTAATTAAACTTTGTTTTTTAATCAATAATAGATAAATCCAATTTGTACAAATATTGAAGATATGTTGACACGATTAGATGAATTCGAGACCTTACTGTCGAATGTAAGTAAAAAAATAGCTAAATTATTTTAATTTTATATCAAACTAAATACAACTATTTATAGATAAAAGCAGAAACAAATTCCATGCTGGAAAACCATGTCAGTGCTATCCTTGGTTTCACAGAACATTTTGATGCTTTACGCAGTCGTATCGATAATCTAGAAAAATTTGTAGAAGTTGTTAATAATAACGTAACAGCCGTTGAAAATTCTTTGGATATTGCTGAAGAGGAACTTCATGTAACGGATTATAGCATTAAAGGTCTTATAATCAAACCATTACTTGCCAAAGCGAAAGCAACTACTGTCGCTGTTGAAGGTGGCGAACAATTGCCACGAAGTAATTTAGTAAATGGTGAATTCCAAAAAATACCAATCTTCAGTACAGACAAATATTTCAAAGCATCAACATCAGATTTATTAGAGGATGAACCAAAGTGTGATCTTAGTAATGCAATGTCGAACAAAAACTAGAGACTTTACATAATATATATATATTTTGTATAAATTTTATTGTTAATGTATATATGAAAAAATAACTTTTTTATATATAAAAAGTTTTATATAAAAAATTTACAAATAATGTTATGAAAATTTTTACAATTTTTATTATTGGGTTTATGTAATAAAGAAGATATATTTAAAAATAGACAATATAAAAATATACATTAATTATAGTTAATCTACTAGTTAAATACTAGTAAATATTATAGTTAAATATTATAGTTAAATACTAGATATTTATTACCAAACGATTTTAAAAAAACTGATCAATTAGCTTGTAAAAACATTTAATACTACATGATGTCTAATTAATTACAATTATATATATATATATATATATATGTATAAAGGGTTTGTATATATATGTGTGTATAAGATGTGTGTATATATATATATATATGTATAAGGAGTTTGTATATATATATATGTATAAGGGATTTGCAGTGGATCTGGTCCTCCAGGTTGGGAGTTGATCGGAAGGTCAGCAGTCTCGCATCGGAAAAAACACCCGCTACGCAACGTTTTTTAAAAAAGAAGGAGACTAAGGTTCAACTGGACTGTGGTGCCAGATAAGAAGAAGAATGTATGTATAAGTAGAGTAATATAAGTTATGGAGTAAAATTATATTTAATGTTTCAAAATATAATATTTCGAACCCAACCACTATGTGTTAAATATATAGATTTTATTGTTACATATAACACCGGTAGATGTTGAACTTTAACAACAAAAAGATATAATTTTAAATTTTTTGGTAAAAAAGTAAATAAAAACAAATGTATTATTAAATATTTATTTAAAATCTACTTTTAACTATAATAAGCACGTCATTAGCGTAGCTTTAGTCCTCAAAGTCGAATCTTTTTAGCAGTTCAAGAAAGTAAGCAATCTCAAAAAGTGACGATTAAGCAAGCCTTCAGGGCAGTCTCAACCGTGTGTCAAACAACATTTCAAGCCTTTGAATTCAGCGGCTATTATGAGTTATTTTAATACTAAAAGGGTCTAGTTTATATTTAATTAGGAAATAGTTACATAGTTGATTATAGATAGATAGCTTTTCCGTTAGTATTGAATGAAAAAGCAATTTGTATGTCAAGAAAATCACCTAAGCTAAGTTCCTTCAATGCTATAATTTATTAAAAGGATTATAATGGGCGTATCAAGAAAAAATCTGGTCAAGCAATTTAGTATTTAGTATTAGCATATATAATTAGAAACCTCTATTGCATAGTATATAAAAAAACTTGTTTCAACTTTCGAAGGGGATTGCGTTTGTTAATTTAAAAAAAAATATCAATTTTATAAAAAAAGATATAAAAGTTTTATATTTGGTCTCGTGTTCAAACAGGTTTAAAAGTGGTTTTTTGGTCTAACTGCAAAATATTTAATTTTTTTGATTAATTAAGACTATCAGTACTGTTATTGCTAAAGTCTCTAATTGTTTTTATATGATCTTATTTTTTTATCAAGAGATTTAATTTCTAGTATATCATTTAGCACTGATTTATATTGATTATTGCATTTTAGTAAGTAATCTGCTTCACAACAAAAATTAATAATAAAGATTAGTTATTAAGTTCAGCTTTAGATATAGAAATCTCTGTAGTGACCTTGAATGTACGTATAATATTATATTTAGGTTCAGTTTCAGATTAAGTTCAGATTTTTTAATTTATGATAAGATATTTTTATATGCTCTATGGATTATCTTTTTCAAACTCTTTTATTTTTTATTAAATGCGTTTTTTTTAGCTTTTATGGTTTGACCATTTGACCTATAAACTAATCCAAACTATTACAGTAGAGAGAAACGCTTAGTAATAAAAATGGTTTCCATACCTCAAACTATACTAACTTAATCATGTATTTTCTGCAGTTTTTTAATTTTATTTTTTCAGCTTTTATGCTTTAACCATTTGACCTATAAACTAATCCAAACTTTTACAGTGAAAAGAAATATTGAGTAATAAAAATGCTTTCCATTCCTAAGCCACGCCATCCTAATCAGATATTTTTTATAGTTTCATCTATCTACATATGTGTCTATTAAGAATGCTTATTAAGATCCTTTTTCATATCTTGATAAGAATATGAAGCTACTACAGTAAATGTCACTAATCATAGAATATTTAGATTATTGTCTTTAAAAAAAAATGTATAGAATGAAAACTGTTGACGGAATTCCATATTTTCTACAGTTCAATAGGCACAATCTATTTGAAAATTGACGAATATCAATAGATATTTTAATTTTTTTTCTCCAAACTAGATTCTAAAATGTTCTGCCAAATCAGAATAAGTTTATTTATTATAATATATAGTTACTAAAGAAAGTCTTACTAATCTCATGCCATCTCGATTACTTTCTTAAACTTGTATAGAATAACAACTATAGAAAAATAATGAATGAAATAGAGAAAAACCTTTCAACTAGAAACAATCAATTCAACAATGAATATCTTTATAATATTGTGATAATAGTTAAGAAATTGTTAAAAAATTATACAAATATATTTATTTAATATAAACAATAAAAAAACAATTATTTATTTTTAAAAACTCTTTCGTTGCATATTTAACTTTGGAAAAATTTCAAACACGTTCGAATTTGATTGCTTAATAAAATGTGTGACTCTTTAATTAGCAACTGTTTGGTGAACACCCCAGATTTCAAAGTTTTACAATTGTTGTTGTTGTTGTTGTTGAAGGTCTGATTATTGCTTTGGTCTAAAAGAAAGTAATAATTTATATTAAAAACAAAAATTTATTAATTTAATCTGCAATTTATTGAACTAACCTTGCAAATAATTCTGCCACAGGAACCGGATGTGGTCTGATGATTGGATGTACTGTAGTAGAGGTGGTCGATGAATCTGATGTTGTTTCTACTTTTTTATCATCGACTTCTTTGCGAGGATGTGTGTATACGTGTTCTGGATGAAATTCATGTGATTTGTGATGGATATGTTCATGTTGTTGTTGCAAATGGTGTTCCTGAGGTAATTGTGCAGGTACTTTATCACTTAAGTCTTCAACTTGCACATCACCTATTTGTGGCTTAACAACTTCTGTGGATAATTTCTCCTCCTTTTGTGATTCTGCTGCTTTATTATCAACAGCTGAGTCTTCTGGATGTGCATGTTTGGCAACTAATGGTACAGGAATGTCACGCTTAACACCAGTATGTGAATTATGTAAATTTAAGTGATGCGCAGGATCATCAGCTGGCAATATAGCAGGAAGAATTTGTGGTTTAACGAGAGTTATTTCCTCCTGATTTGTAGATTCAGCTTCAGGTTTTAGTGGAGTTTCACGTTTGACAAGGGTATGCAATTGTTCTGTATTAATTTGATATATGGGATCAACAGCTAATATGGCAGGTAAAGTTTGTGGTTTAGCGAAAGTTATTTGTTCCTGTGGACTTGATGGTTCAGCTACAGGTTTCTCTTTAATTTCACGTTTTACATCGGGATACGGACGTTCGGTAGTTACGTCGTGCGCGACAACATCAATTGGCAATTTTGCTGGAACTTTTTCTGTTTCAGAAATAGTAGATTCTAGTTGCAAGCGAGCATCTTCTGCAGCAGTTTCTATTTTTTCCAGGGTTTTTATAGTTTCCTTTAGAGGTTCATCGCGTTTTTGACGGTGTTTTGGTGCGTTAGTTGTAACCAAAATTGTTTTTTGTGGTGCAACTGAATTTTTTATTTTACTCTCCGGTTGATACTTAGCAATTTCTTTGGGATCTGTAATTTTTGTAATTTTATCAGCGGGTTTGGACTCTCCAGCAATATGCGGGTTTATTGGACTTGGTCTTTGTAAACCGATACCCTGAGATTTTCCATCATCTTTGTCTAATGCAGGTGCAGCCAAGGCAAATGCAATCAAAGCGCATAATATCAGCTAAATGTTGAAAAATAGATTTAGAATTCACAAAAAAAAGATGTATCTTCGGAATAACTAACTAATAAGACTTTATACTAAGACTTACCAAATGCCGCATTATTCCTAACGTAATCTAATAACCGTACAACTGAATCTTGACTCAAATACTATTTTTGCTGGTGTGAATTGTTTGAACTTATATAGAATTCCGACACATAAATATATATACATGCAGCAATATTTTACGTTGGAAATGTATGTAATATTAGCCAAAAAGCACTGAATATATCTTATAACCGGACTGTATATTGTTTAACAATAAATTTTTGTTATTTTGTTGAACATTTCGTAGAGAGGTGTTAATTACAAGTGTCCACATTGATTCATAAAATGGTGCACTCCTCTAGTTAGTAACTCTGCCCATTGCCTTTGTCTGTGCAAGAAAATAACCGGTCAATCGTTACAGTTTCTGGAAGAGACCTTAACTCGGAAAAAAAACAATTAAATATCAGGCATCACAAAAAATTGATAAATAAATAAAATAAGCCCAAATTTGAGAAATTTTATATATAAAAATTGTTTGCAAAAATTGAGAAAAAAATTTGATTATTTACATTGTTGAAATATGTGCTAATATCAGAAATTAACGATCACATATAAACTATACTTACAGATCTGTTTTACCACTAATTTGAAACTAACAAGTCGTTCTATCTTTGACTCATAATTTAACAAGTACGCTTTAACTGTAAATATAAGAAAACAAATACGTAGATCTACATATATGTATATGTATATATATATTGCTGACATATAATTACGATAATGATCTGTAAAATTCCTAGAACTTTTTTAAGCCGTCTGAATTTTTAGAGCCTGAAGTAAATATTAATAAACACATCTATCTATTTTTATATACATATATATATATTTATATATACGTATATGCATTAGCTATTGCAATTACCTTGAAAATAATATCAGAAAAATTTTTATTTTTAAAATAATTGTTAAATCCAGGAGGCAAAATTGTCTATGTTGTACAAGAGAACAAGAGACATGATGGAATATTTATAGTTGAAACCTAATTAAAATCTAAAAATGATCGAATTCTTCGGAAACATATTGATTTTTCCAAAGTATTCTTGTCTTATCCTCCTACGTTTCTTGAAACTTGTTGATAGTACGAATGACCTACACAAACAACAAGTTTGAAATAATTAGAATTATTATAAGTATGAATAAAAATTATTTATATACTTGCTCTAACTCCACGGTGTATACTATATATCTTTCATATCGTCATAGATAAATTAGTTATTTATGTATTTTAACTTTAAAGTTTGTAGGTTAACTATAATCCTAGGTCTGATGACAGATTCACTCATTTCATTCAACTTAAGCTTTAATAAATTTTGACAAACAATTTGTTACTGTTTTTGCAATAATACGATTATTCTTCTTATGGTTTTAAGTTAATATGATAAAAAGAAACGAACATATAGTGGTATTCACAATCTCGAGTAACGAGTTCTATAATTAAGTGATGTAGTAATTCTACAAAGTGCCTTCAACAAAGTATATGTTCTTGACATGTGTTTTTTTGTTGTCGCTTTGGACTCTTACTATATTACTCGCTTAATAAGCTTGTTACGCAAGATCGTGAATACCCCTTATGTACACAATTTTAATTTTATATTCTATAAGTAACAGTCACATTATACGTTGTTATATGTTATTCAAGTCATTTATAGCTGAGTTCTTATTTTTATTGATTATATGTACTTTCTCTTTTCAAAGTAGTACAAATGTGCATTTGAAAAAGTCTTAAGATTTACCAACAAAAAATGACTCTAGTGTTCTTCTCTACAAGATCCAATATGACGAAAAACTAATACCAGGTAGGGAAATGAATAAGTTCTAAGATAATGGGAATTATTGGGTAGAGGAGACACGTGACCATGGGAGAATTTTAGTATCACAATTAATATTGCATTAACTGAACAGCAGGTATTCAGATTTTTCAAAGAAGAAACACTATAATATCCTTCTCATAATCCTGAATAAAGCCGAACGGTCACAAAGCATTTACATAATGCTGTAAAGATCAGGGTTCGTATTTGCTCACTCATGAGCAGCAAGAGGCTCATGAGCAAGAGCCAATTCTTATGTGAGCCCAAAATTGGCTCATATTGAAGAGCTGCTCACCAGCGTGAGCCTTCAAGTTGCTCATATTGAAGAGCCGCTCATGAGGTCTCACGAGCCGAGAGCTCATGAGCTCAACTGTTTAATAAAAAGCGATTTATTAGTTTATTTGCTTTATTTATTTTTATAAACGTTATTGTGCAAATATATAATTTGATAATAATTTAGCTTATTATTATTTATATTAAAACAATATAATGAAATAATAATTTGAATTTGAAAAACAAATTTATAAAATATTATTATTTTCCACAAATAAACAATACAAATATATTTATTGTTTATTTTAAGAACTTTGATTATTTCCATATTATAGTTAGTTCAAGATTATTAATATTTTAAATCTTTTTTAATGTCATGATTTCACAAAAAAATATAATAATAAAATTTTAAGTTGGGCGCATGAGATCTCATGAGTCGCAGCTCATACTTTTGCTCACGAGCGTGAGCCCATTTATAACTTAATGGCGGCTCTTGCTCGTGAGCGTGAGCTCTGTGGTTGGGCTCGCTCGTGAGCGTGAGCCATCGTATGAAAAGAGTCGGCTCATGACCCGTGAGCCGAATGAGCCAAAATGAGCCGCTCATGGGTACGCAAATACGAACTCTGGTAAAGAGATTAGGGGAATATAATGCTAATCAAACAAATCGTCAGTTGTAGACGATGTGTTAAGCAATTAATTCAAATACATATATAAATAAATTAATTTAAGAATATAAGATAAATATGTATAAATATAGCGTTTAGCATAGTTTCAGTTAAGGCGTAGAGAGGGGTTATGAAGAAACCTCGCAGAGAGTAAAAGTGCTCAAGTGCACTGACAACTCAATTAGTCTCAAGATAATAATAAGATAAAAATATTTACCATTGCCTTTGTAATATTCATTTTGTTTTCTCTTATTTAAATTAAGTAATTTTCATAATGAATACAACACAAAAAAAATGTCAGAATAAGCACTTAACATATTTAAAAAGTGATGCCAATTCGTTTCAACCAGACTTAATGTTGTTTTTTTACAACTCTGAAAGAAAAAATTACAATTAATATAAAAAATTAATATTTTTCAATATTAATAATTTCATTTTTTATACATATCGTATGTATATTATATACTGAACATACAAAATATAGAATTTTAAAGTTATTCTGAACAATTATTTACTGAAATGTTTAAATATAAACTAAAAGTTTAAATAATAAAATATATTTATTTAGTAGGAACATAGCTAAGATCGCGTGTACAAATGTCAAATAAACACATATCGCTTAGACGTCAAAAATGATTTTTTTACTCTAAAGCATGCCCTGTTCGGCGGCTTTGTTTCATAACCAAAACGACAATAAAAACAACAAACATCAAATGACAGAAAGACGTGTCGAAAACATAAAATAGAATTGTGCGTCGACCGATATTTAATTAAATTAGGCAAAATGTTGAAATATATATATTTTATATTATTAGTATTTGCGGTAAGCATTAAACTTTTAAATAAAATTGAACTCAATAAAAATTTTTGTAGACGCATACGTTGGCAGACTACACAGCGCAAGATTGCCGCGAAATTGGTTTCATAAAAAGCCAATTAATGTGCTCCAACTGTGAAAAATTAGATGATTTCGGCTTAGAATTAATCAAGTGAGTACAAGCAAAAAATAGTTATAAAGCCTAAAGCCAATTTTTTTTAAATAATAGGCCTCATTGTAAAGAGTGCTGTACAATGGATCAAAAACACACAGTACAACATAGATATCCGAAAGCAATATTAGAAGTATGCACCTGTAAGTTCCGTGCTTATCCACAGATACAAGCTTTTATTAAAAGTGGTCGACCGGCCAAATTTCCAAATCTACAAATCAAATACGTACGCGGTTTGGATCCAATTATTAAGTTGTTGGATGCGAGTGGTAACGTTAAAGAAACACTCTCTATTACCAAATGGAATACAGATACGGTAGAGGAATTTTTCGCTACGCATTTAGAGAAAAGTAATGGAAAAAGTGAAAAGAATTCTTATAGTATTATAGAGGAAACAGATGACGACATTGAAGATTTTTTAAAAACAAACAGAATTTAGTGTTTAATAGTATAAAATTAATGCCATGTTTTAGTTTAATTATTGATTTGAACAAATTGATTTGATTTTGTCAGGATTTTGAAGTTATAATTTAAACTCAAAATAGTTTTCAGTGTGTCCATCTTTAAAGAGATTTTAGAGATTCAGGAAAAAGTAATTCTCAGTTAAACGACACACATGTCAATTACTTTTGTAAAGAAACAATTTAGTTGAAACATAATTTATCATTCCTATTCATGTATATCATTATTTTGAAGAAATTTATTTAGTTTCTTGTTTTTGTTTTTATAGTTTTTAAGATACATATACGTAGCTATTTCTTATTTTTTGTTCAAAAACAAAATTCTATTATTTCTGTAAATGAGATTTCAATCGTTCTCTTAATCAAAAACCGATTTTGAAAGCAAAACCAAAATATTCTAATAAATTTATAATTTACTTAAGCTCATTTTCAATATAGATAATTATATAAAATACTTAATTTTTAGGGAATTAAAAAAATTGCTTATGTTGATGGCTTTGTTCATTCTAAGAAACAATTTAGTTAAATATGTAACAAACTATGTAATTGTTTATATTATATAAATTGTGTGATCCAGTAACTAGTATGTTTAATTATTAATTTTCTATAAATAAAATAGTCTTAATTAATAATTCAAAAGTAAATCTTTTTTATTAAAAATTTTGAAGTCATGCTTTTTTTTATAAATAAGTATGAACATTGTGTACGCCTATTTGATATTGGGGAACTATTTCCAACATATACTATTAGTTAGATTGTATATTATTAGAGCATTTAGTATTTAAAGATTGCTCTAATGTTTTATATAAATATATTTTATTAATTCTGAGCTATTAAGTATATTTAAACTAGTAAATAATATTTCCAACATACACTATTAGTTAGATAATATATTGTGAGAGCACTTTTAATATTTAAAGTATGCTGTAATGTTCTATATTAATAATTCCATTTATCTATACTAATTTTCTATTTAACTAATTCTAAGCAAATAAGTATATTTAAACTAGTAAATAATTGCAGTCATATTAATCGTATTTTAAAATGAATAAAATAATCGTATCTATTGTCTTACTTGTTATTTCTAATGTATAAATTTGTTATACATTCTATTTATTACAGCGGTAAAACTCAACTTTATGATTTAAATATAATATTAATAATAATTTAATTACTTGTAACACAAGTATTTAATATACTTATATATTTATATATTAATTATAAGTATTTACAAGTAATTAATTACATTACAAGTATTTAATATACATATATATTTATATATTTTTATATATTAAATAGCTTTTAAATAAAATAATAGCTTAAATACTAAATTAAATACTAATACTAAGATTAAAAAATATACTCAATCTTCGCATTCAATATATATATTTGTATATATATATTATTTATTTATTAGTGATAATAAATTATTACTGAAGGATGCGGAGGAAAAGAATATATTTTTATATAATTTTAAAAGTTTAAAGTTAGTTAGTCTAATCAGTATGGACACATCCTTTTTATTACTTAAAATACTATTTAAACAATTTAGAATTTGTTTTATAAACAATATCTCATAAAATAGATGAAAATAAAATATTACAAAATATATGCATAAAAGAGAAAATAGTGGGACATCTTACATAGCTTTCTAATCACTGAAAAATCAGAATATATAATATATATATAAAAAATAAATAAAATATATAAAAAATAAATAAAATATATAAAAAATAAATAAAATATATAAAAAATAATAATATAATTATCAGTATTGTCAATTTTTGGCAGTTCTTTTAATTCTAATACGCTAACAGTTAATACCAGGAATTTTATTACAATATAAGAAGAAATATAGTCATTTATGAATGCTTGTTATCTAGTTTTTATATTAAATTATTATATTATATTATATTATACTATATTATATATATTGTTTATATGAATAGGTACATCTCAACGAATAGATTTCGCAATTGTATATGTTGAATAATAGTTCCACGATTAGCTGTATTTTTTTTGAAGAATTTGAGATAGATAATTTTGTAATACGAAAAAGTTTTAGAAGAAGTAGACTTCGGGCAATTTTTAGTATTTTAGAAATAACTAAGAAAACAATCTACGCTGTTCTAAGATGCAATCTATTCAGTTCTGCAAACAGTTTCCATTAAATTTTTTTTCTAATGTATGGAACGTATATGTTTTTTGTATACATAATAAATTGTATACATAATAAGATAGAGCAACTAAAATATAGTAGTTAAAATATCCATACGGCTAGATTTAAGTTTTAAAAATATGAATTTATTTTTATATACAAGTATTTCTTTAAATTTAAGTTATATATGAATATGAAGTGTATAAGAGAATAACATATTCAATTTTTCAGAAATTTGATTGTTTATAAAACGTTAAATATTGTTTAGGTTTCAAAAAGTGGCACAAATTTTTTTTATCGTTGCAGAGTTCCACTTTACTGACAACATAGGTGCAAGTTATTAATATAATCTAATCTATTATATTAGAAAGAATTGGTTATCATTTTTCATAATACTATTGTAGTGAGATATTATATGTTGTTCCTGGAGAGAGTCTCTTGAACTAACCCGAACAAATGAAGGCTATTGAGAAATCTAAAATTGTTACTTGGTTTAAAATTGCGCACCATATTCGGTTCAATGAGGTTTTGCAAGAAAGTTTTAAAAACCTAAACCTAAACTAGCTCAGACAAATCAAAGCTTTTCGCAGGACGCTTTCGTTTCAATGAGGTTCTTTATGAAGGTTCTAAACTTCTTAATTAATCTGGATAATTAAGGTTATTGAAAATCTAAAATTATTTTTTTGTACAAAACCGAATTTTGTTTGATGCAATGAGGTTCTGTATAGAGATTTTACACTCCTTAACTAACCTGGGCAAATCAAAGTCATTGATAAATCTAAAATCTCAGAAATCTTTCATTTTTATTTCTGGTTTTTGTTTTGGAGGTTCTAAGCTTCTTAACTAAGTTCCTATACTAACCCTGGAAAATTAAATTTGGATACACCTATAAAAATAATACAAAATTCTGAAGAAAGTTTCTTCAACTAACCCGTACAATTTAAGGCACTTGATAAATCTAAAATTGCTCTTGAATGAAAAACGCAAAGCATATTCGGTTTAATTAGCTCGGACAAATTAAAGCTATTGATAGGTCTAAAATTCCTCTTGGTTGTTAATCGAAGACCTTATGTGATTAAAACAGGTTGTATTAGAATGTTGGTAATTTCCTTCTACGTTTTGAAATCTACTGATGTCAGCAGTACTAATAGCTCAAAAATCAATGATTTATTTAAGTTTTTATTGACTCGAGTTAATAATGTGGTTTGCCCCTTGCCTTTGAAATACTTACAACTCCTTTTAAATAGTTTCATTTGATGATACTTGACTGATACAGTCTGACAAGTGAATGTTATGCCAAGATTGTTGTGACCCTATAAAGGGAGAAAGTGTCTCTTCTCTTATGATGTTGTCATCTTTTTTATTACCTTCTTTAATCGCCGTAACCTTCCATGGATGCAAATGAGTATAATTCGATTCTATGGAAGCGTACATAAATTCAGATCTGCATTCTCTCAAGTCAAATGCAACATATATTCAAATGCTGGTCTTCAAAGTATACTTTTATACAATCATCTGAATAACTTATAAGAATTCAATAGAGCTTTTATAACGGTGAATCATCCAAATGGTGACAGACTCTATTGAGTAAAAGTGGTTTACACATTAACTCGTGTTTGATCAAGCAAAGAGGAAGACTAAATTCATTTGAGGTTTATAGTCATTTGGCTATCCATATATATAACATTACTGACTAACATTTTTGTATCGTTCTTCGAATGAATACCAGTTTTCTCACATAATCTATAAAAATTTTTTAACATGCGTTGCTTTTGGTATGAAAAAATTCAGGTGTAAATAACATTAGGACTCATATAAATATTTTCGCATGCCAAGCCCCAAACTTTGATGGATTTATTTGATTCGAAGAATCTTTTACACATAACTTCATATACATATCCCTAACTAAACAAATATATGCAAACACATATGCAGATGTAAATTTGTATTTTTAAGTCTACAATGAATGTGTCAACAATTAAATTATGCTGTTTACTTTCAGCACTATCATATTTCTGCTATAAGTCTAAACAAATTATCGCTAAAAAAACATAATAAAAAAATATAACAGAGAAGACAAAATTTTCTGAAATGGAATAGGAAATAAGCACCGAAAATGTTTGATAAAAAAAAGAATTGTATCCAAAAATAAAATTTTGTACTGTAATTTTAACTATATAATTTATTTTAATTCATTTTTGTCAACAATATCAATTGCTTTTTTATATTCTCTGAAATCCTTATCAGACATGCTGGCGGGCTCTACGTTGGCGTCACAAACGTTGACTAACGTCCTAACAAACGTATATATTTGATATATTGTGCTGACGCCGATTGAGCTAGTGTTTGTAAGAATTATTTAATTATTAGACATAGTCACTCTTCCAGAGCCATGAGTAAAAAAATAGATTTCCTAGAATTATTTATTCGATTTGTTACAGATTTAAACCGTTTTCGTCAATATCTTATATCTGAATTCCAAGAAATGTCTGTTAAAACGTTTTTGAGATGAAACACGTTTCCAAATTTGTAAATACTGTGTACGATTTTTTAAATCTGGAATAGTTGTGGTTTTGCTTTTGTAGAAATGGGACTGACATGACGTTACTATTTTCATCACTATATTGTATTTGAATTCATAGAAAAGTTTATTAAGACTTTTTTAAGATATAGCCTATTTCCACATTTGTAAATACTGTGCACGATCATTATTAAATCTGGAACAGTTGTGGTTTCGCCGCTTTAAAAGTGGGACTGGTATGACGTTTATATCATTTTCGTCACTATATTACATCTGAATTTTCAAAAATATTTATTACGACTTTCTTAAGATAAAGCTTGTTTCCACATTCTTAAATAAAATGTACGATTTTTTAAATCTGGAACAGTTGTGGTTTCGCCGCTTTAAAAATAGGACTGGTATGACGTTTATATCATTTTCGTCACTATATTATATCTGAATTTCTAGAAAAGTTTATTAAGACTTTCTTAAGATATAGATTGCTTCAACATTTGTAAATAATGTGTACGATCATTATTAAATCTGGAACAGTTGTGGTTTTGCTTTTGTAGAAATGGGACTGACATGACCTTACAATTTTCGTCACTATATTATATCTGAATTCCTAGAAAAGTTTATTAAGACTTCCTTAAATACTGTGTACGATTTATTAAATCTAGAATAGTTGATGTTTCGTCGATGTAGAAGTGGGACTGGGATGACGTTTATACCATTTCGTCAC